TTCCCCATGTTGCCCAGGCTGGTCTCTAACTCGTGGGCTGAAGTGATCCTTCCACCTCAGCCTCCTGAGTTGCTGGGATTGCGGGAATGAACCACCACTCCTGGTTTCAGATTATTTTAAAAGTTGCTAGATTTCAAATACTTTACTGTTTTTTTCTTCAGTTCAGTAGTACATAGTACTTTTTTCCAGAGTATGTTTGGGAAACTTTAGTACTTGCAGATCTCCATAGAAAAAAAGAGAGCTTGATCAAATAAGTCTGTGAAATGCTATAGACTATATTCCATACTTAGAAATTTATACTGCATATTATCTTAATAAAGTCTATTAGAAGGTTTGTAGTTAAAAACCTTGGATTTCATTGTTTCCCAAACTTTATATTCATGTGTCCTCCTTTATTCTCCCTAATAATTCCTACTAATAATTTATGAACAAACTTGGGACAATCTTGTTATTGTGTGGAATTAAAAAGAAATAGGGGTTGGGCATGGTGGCTTACACTCGCATTTGTAATCTCAGTGCTTTAGGAGGCTGCAATGGGAGGATCACTTGAAGCCAGGAGTTTAAGACCAGGCTGGACAACATAGTGAGACCCTCTTCTACAAAAAATATTTAAAAAATTAACTGAGTGTGGTGGTGTGTGTGCCTGTAGTCCCAGCTACTGGAGAGGTTGAGGTAGGAGGACTGCTTAAGCCCAGGAGTTGGAGGTTGCAGTGAGCTGTGATTGTGCCATTGTATTCCAGTCTGGTGGACAGAGTGAGACCCTGTCTCTAAAACAACAACAACAACAACAACAACAAACCCCAAACAGAAATAGGGTACGCTTTTGTAATTCAGGAGCTTAAAATCTTGCTAGAATTTCAAGATTTGTACATGATACTTTAAAGATGGTAAATGTATAATGCTAAGTTGAGTATAATTAAGAGCCAAAAATGTACTTTAGTGTTACAGCTAGGAGGGGGAAAGTGTTCATTTAGGTTAGATTCTTTAGGAAGATTTCATAGCAAAAATGTGTCTTGAGAGAGGTCTTGAAGGGTGAGTGATCAGATTTGAAGGAGTAATACTGGCTTGGGCTATCTAAATTGCTGAAGTAGTTTATAGGTATCACTTTCTATATTCACAAATACACCTTAGTTTAGAACACATGATATTGCTTCCTCAGTAACTAGTTCTTGAATATATTATATAATAATGCTTTTCAAATTTTAATGTGCATGAATCACCTGGTGCTCTTTTTAAAAATGGTTGCTGAGGCCTGGCACGGTGGCTCACGCCTGTAATCCCAGCACTCTGGGAGGCCAATGCGGGAGGATTGCTTGAGCTCAGGAGTTCCAGACCAGCCTGAGCAAGAGTGAGACTCCCGTCTCTTATAAAAATAGAAATAAATTAATTGGCCAACTTAAAAAAAATATATATATATATAAATAAAATTAGCCAGGCATGGTGGCGCATGCCTGTAGTCCCAGCTACTTGGGAGGCTGAGGCAGTTAGAAAGATTGCTTGAGCTCAGGAGTTTGAGGTTGCTGTGAGCTAGGCTGACGCCAGGGCACTCACTCTAACCTGGGCAACAAAGTGAGACTCTGTCTCAAAAAAATAACAAAACAAAAAACAGTTTTAGGGTGGATATCTGAGATAGTACAAAGAAAACTATATTATAAATGAAAGGACCAAAATTCTAGGTTTTTTTTTTTTGTTGGCTCTAATTCTGTCATTCATTGTTAGCCATGTAATCTTGGGCTAGTTAGGTAGTTTATCGTTTAGAGCTTTAGTATTAATATTTACTCTGTTAAAAAGCAGGATTCCAGACCAGGCGAGGTGATTCTCGACTGTAATAGTAGCACTCTGGGAGGCAGAGACGGACAGATCATTTGAGTTCAGGAGTTCAAGACCAGCCTGAGCAAGGAGACCCTGTCTCTACTATAAACATAGAAATTAGCTGACTAAAAAAAAAAAAAATATAATATATATATAATATATATAATATATATATATGCCAGGCATGGTGGCGCAAGCCTATAGTCCCAGCTACTCAGGAGGCTGAGACAGGAGGATCGCTTGAGCCCAGGAGTTTGAGGTTGCTGTGAGCTAGGCTGACGCCACGGCACTCTATCCTGGGCAACCGAGTGAGACTGTCTTCAAAAAAAAAAAAAAAAGCGGGATTTGAGAAGGCAAGGACTTAGGGAATTGAAATGATACAATTTTTAAAAACACTCATTTGTTTAAGTATAGTAAGTATGTTTATTGATAAAGGATTATTACATGATTGAATGGCATCTTAAATGGTTTCCCGCCCTCTACTCAGTTTGGAAGTAGCTAACCAGCTTTTCTTAGGAACTTAACCTAACAAGTGCTTGTGTGTGTTACTAACATGTTTGTTATCCTTAATTATAGACACTCTCATGTTTTAATTTCTTTATTTTTTATTTAAAAATTTTTTTTTGCATCTTCTGGCATCATGTTTTAATTTCTAATTTTTTTACCTGTTGTGTCCTTTAGTAACAGTGTGGTCTTGTGGCTTTAAAACTAGTTCATGGTAAATTATAGTACAGAACAAAATTAGAAATTGTTGTTCTTGGGAAAAAATTTTTAGTGAGTGCTGTTTCTATAGAATATACTTGGACACCTTTAATCATTATAAATATTTCTTATGCTTGCTTGCTAGTAGTTAACATTTTGACTAATTACTTGTGTAATATAGTTGTCTTGCTTTGAAAGCATAGAAATGTGTAGTTATGAAATGGATAGTTTTCATATATTTTTCTTAAAAGAAATTTAAAAGAAAGAAATCTTAAAAAGAAATTTGTAGCATAAAAGGAAACTAGATTGTCTCAAATATTTTTACATGGTAGCGCACTGAAGATAATCCTATATACCTTTGAAATTCTGATCTAGAATGTCAGGTGATACTTTATAAAGCATTAGCATATGAATTAAATAATCTGTAAAGAAAAGGTTAATCTTTCCTTACCTCTCTTCCCCATCCCTCCTAGCATCCAAGGAATTGGGAGGTGGAAAGGAGGGTGCTGTGCAGAGTCAGTGACCTTCCTATAGTCTGAGGACATGGGGCTGGGGAGGGGGCATGATAAAAGTATGATGGTGGAAGAGGACTCTGGTTGAGAGTTGGTTACATTGAATAAATAAATTAATTGAAAGAGCAAATGAATGTACTGAAGATGATGGAAGCTGGGTTTCTCACCTAAAAGGTTTTATAGACATAGAAGGGGAAAGGATAGAAATTAAAGATGTGGGATTGGAATTAGAAGTATTGGTGTAAGCCTTTTTCTTTTTCATTATTTATGCTCATATACAGGAATAGGTATAGATGTGTATCTTTACATGTATATGTATGTATGTATGTGTGTGTGTGTATATATATATATATATATATATATATATATATATATTTCTTAGCTCTGTCTGCTTAGAGGGCTTAATAGCAGTGAAACCTCAGTAACAGTGAACACACCTGGTAGTGCCCATAACCAGGGCTCCTTGGAGAAATGGCTAATCCTAGGTCCAGAGAGGGAAAAGTACAAAATGAGCCTAGGGAATTCTGTTGTTCCAGAATGTAAGGAAGTACTCAGAATGATGGGGATGTGTCAGAAGATACAACAATCACCTTGAAGGGTCTCCCACTAGCCAAATCTCACGGGATTTGAGTGACAAAATAAATAAGGAGAGTAAGGGATAATAACCTATGGAGTAAAATAAGAATCCATGAGTCCATACTGATACAAATATAAATGAATACATGAGTTGGGGGGACAGGGAAAGCTCTTCTTTAAAGTAAAAAATATAAAAAGGACAGATGGACTTAGATAATCACCATCATAGTGATATATTTTTATTTATTTATTTATTTATTTATTTATTTATTTATTTATTTATTTATTTATTTATTTTTAAATTTTTTTAAAGGGCTGGAGAGCGCCCGCGGGTGGGTATCGAACCGCTCTGACTACACAGAGAAGTTGTTGAAATGCGATCGAAGGAACCGCTGAGCTAAGGCCAGCCCCATCATAGTGATATTTGATTATGGTGAGAGTAGTCAATGAATGCTAAGGCTGGTGGGTGGAGATTTGATGAGGAACAGGATATTGGTGAATTATCAGAATAATTCCTGACAATATATAATCAGATACAAAGGGAAAAATAATGACTTTATAGTGGAGAAACCTGGCAGACATCAACTTGACCAGTTGATCAGTGTTAACATCTCCAGGGATGGGAAGGATAGGTGTAGTGTGTACATAGCATCATTTTTCTATATTCCTTCCAGGAATGTATGGCCTGAATCTTATTATGAGAAACATCAACTAGACCCAGATTGAGAAGTCATCCTAGAGAATGAAAGGCCTATACACTTTATAACCAATGGCATGAAAGAAAGATAGGGAAAAGACTGAAGTACTGTTTTAGATTGAATGATACTGAGGAGGTCTGATAACTAAAAGCAATATGTATTCATGGATAAGATCCTGGACCTGAAAGAGAGACATTGTTGGGACATTTGGTAAAATTTGAATGTGTTTGTGGATTGGCTTTGTGTTATACCAATGTTGATTTCCTGATTGGGAGGATTGTATGGCGGTAATGTAGCAAAGTGTCCTTGTTTTGGGAGGTACATGTACTGGAGTATTTAGGAGGAGATCTTGAGGCATCATGTCTTAGAAAGATATATATATATATATATATATATATATATACACATATATATATATGTGTGTGTGTGTGTGTGTGTGTGTACCTACACATACACCAAATTACCCACCTTTTCAAAGTAAAAACAAGAAACTAAACATACTTTTCTGATTATAAATTTAATATTTCTAACTTTCTTATTTCTATATTCACAGATTATTACATTTTACTATATTTGTAGTGTGATTTATTCAGTAAATATTTATTGCTTGAAAAAATACTGTGCTTGATTAGTTAAGAATATTAGGAATTCTATTTGTCTTAATAGGAATAATAAATACATTTTTAATGTTGTCTTTCAGAAAGCTGAAGTTGATGGTAGTTTAAGTGATAGCCACGTATCTCCTCCAGCCAAACGCACTTTGAAACAACCTGATTCTGTTTGCAAAGACAAATCAAAATCACGAAGTACTGGTCAGCGAGAGGAATGGAACATATCAGCTGGACAGGCCAGGTGAGAAAGGAGAACTTGTTGATTGTTTTTTCATAAATTATTTGATGTGATTCAGGGCTGATATTAGTGTTAATTTTCTAACTGGTAAAATAACTAGTTGTATAAATACTTATAAATAAATTGTATTAAACTTTATAATTTTTGTATGTAATTTTATATTCTCCAAATATGCTATATTTTTGTTTTATAAAGATATATGGTATGTAATAGAAAATATGATTATTAAAATAAGGATTTTGATAGGTCTTGAATGTGCATACAAATTTATAGTCATGAAAGTTTAAATAAAACAGAATTATAGTTTTTATTTGAAAATAAAATCTCTCTCTAAGGTATTGAATATTTCACTTGAATTGATATACTAATGAAATAATGAAATTTTGATTACTTTTTAAAGAAATCTTTTAATCTGTTTTCAACTTAAATTTGCTTTTTGTTTGGTTCAATGTGTAAAACTTAATTTTAGTCAGTTTCAAAGTAAATGGCAATAATTTAATGTAGCTAGGATAGGCACACACAAACATAGAAAAGATTTAAACATTGAAATCAGAATGTTTAGCTTCTGTTTTCTTTAAAGTCTTTGATATAGAAGTACTGATGATGGATGACTGCAAACAGAAGTAAGAAGGTGGTCTTTTGTTTTCTTCCCTTCTTTAAGTATGTAAAATGTTTTGATTTTTTATGTGTTGGTAAATTCTGGATACTGTTACTCTTTTTTTTTTTTTTTTTTTGAGACAGAGTCTCTCTGTTGCCCTAGGTAGAGTACAGTGGTGTCATTACAGGTCACCCAACCTCAAACTCCTGGGCTTAAGCCATCCTCCTGTCTCAGCCTCCTGAGTAGCTGGGACTACAGGCTTGTGCCACCATACCTGGCTAATTTTTTCTATTTTTGGTAGAAACAGTGTCTTGTTCTTGCTTAGGCTGTTCTGGAAGTCTTGACCTCAAGTGATCCTCTTACCTCAGCCTCCCAGTGCTAAGATTACAGGCATGAGCCATGGCCTGCCGGCCTGGATACTGTTACTCTTTTTTTTTTTTTTTTTTGAGACAGAGTCTCCTTTTGTTGCCCAGGTTAGAGTGAGTGCCATGGCGTCAGCCTAGCTCACAGCAACCTCAAACTCCTGGGCTCAAGTGATCCTCTTGCCTCATCCTCCCAAGTAGCGGGGACTACAGGCATGTGCCACTATGCCCAGCTAATTTTTTTTCTCTATATATTAGTTGGCCAATTAATTTCTTTCTATTTATAGTAGAGACAGGGTCTCGCTCTTGCTCAGGCTGGTTTCGAACTCCTGACCTCAAGCAATCCGCCGCCTTGGCCTCCCAGAGTGCTAGGATTACAGGCGTGAGCCACCACGCCCGGCTACTGTTACTCTTTAATGAAAAAAAATCTTTGGAGTACTAGCTGTACAGCTTCATACATTTACTTAAGGAGTCTGTACTTATTAAGAATATGTTCCATAAGAGGTACCACTTCCTTTTACATTTTTTTTAATGTTTTTTATTTTGCATTGTCTGGGAGCTAAGTAGCAAAATACATGAATGCATATATACTATGAGATAGTCTGTTGATTTTTTTTTTTTCTCCTTTCCACACTCATACATCTGTGAGATGAAACAGGTCTGGATCATTATAATGACATTACTTAAAATAAGTGCTATCATTTAATTACACTTTTAAACTTGATCTACCTGTTGTAATCTGTATCTTGCATTTATTAAATGAGTAAATCAGACTTCTTTTTCTGTATAAATGTTCCTGAAAAAATATTTGTTAAAATTTGACCTTTAAGGTGATTAGAATAGTTTATTCAAGTGTGAATATGTCATACACTAGATTGCCCATATCTTATCCACCCAGAAGGCCTTTATGTAAATTGATATATATATATTTTTTTAAAGAGTCTCACTCTGTTGCCTGGGCTAGAGTGCCGTGGGGTCAGCCTAGCTCACAACAACCTCAAACTCCTGAGCTCAAGCAATTCTTCTGTCTCAGCCTCCTGACTAGCTGGGACTACAGGCATGCGCCACCATGCCCGGCTAATTTTTTCTATGTAATTTTAGTTGTCCAGCTAATTTCTTTCTATTTATAGTAGTGATGGGGTCTTGCTCTTGCTCAGGTTGGTCTTGAACTCCTGAGCTCAAACAATCTGCCCGCCTCAGCCTCCCAGAGTGCTAGGATAACAGGCGTGAGCCGCCACTGCTCCCGGCTCCAGGGTGTTGTTCTATTGCCTGGGCTAGAGTGCAGTGGCATCTTTGTAGCTCACTGCGGCTTCAAACTCCTGGGCTCAAGTGATCCTCCTGTTTCATCCTCTCGAGTAGCAGGGACTATAGGTGTGTGCCACCACACTTGGCTAACTTTTTAAAAATTTTTTGTAGAGATAGGGTCTCACTATGTTATGCAGGCTGGTCTGGAACTTTTGACCTCAAGTGATCCTTCTCCCGCAGCCTCCCAAAGTGCTAGGATTTCAGGCATGATCCACTGCTTCTGGACTGAAAAAGTAGTGAAAATTGTAAAGAACTTTGCGAAGACCCTTAATGTTTTAAAGAAATTGCTGTTGATTGGTGAAATACTTTTTCATTTTAGAGACAGGTATTTGGATGAAGATAGAGGTAAAAGTGGACCTAGAACTTCTGAGTCTTCATAAGTAATTGGAGATTATGAGTTATTTTTTGAGGAGAAATCTAGGTTTATATCTTTGAATGCCTGCGTTTATCAACATTTTTATGATTGATATTGTTTGTCAGATGAGGATTTTTTTGATCAAAAACCTTTTAAAATATATTCTTGTTTATCTTTTAGGTAGGAATTCACAAATACGCATCCTGACATCCTTTGAGTATAGAATCCCATTTCATTGACTTTTGTCAGCTGAAACTTATTTAGCCACTAGACTGTAGTCTGTTTAGTCATTTATTTCACCTGGGTGCTGTGTGTGGGCGTGGATGTGAGTGTGATTTTGAGGGAGGCGGCCTGGACAATGTGGCATGATTTGATGTCTCTAGAATAATAGACAGGCATTCTCTAAGATACAGATAAATTAAATCTTTGATATGACTAATTTTACACTAAAATATAGCATGCTTGAAAATTTCCTTTTGTGGTCAGGTGATGAGGAAGCAGTGAGGTAAGGCAGAAGTATAACCACCTGTGTCAAACTGCTGAGGCACATTAGAATTGCTGGGTGGTAGTGGTTGCGTAAGGTCTGTCAGAATGGGGCTTTTTCTGAATTGGGATTTAGAACCCGAATAAATCACTAAATGCCTTGGATTTATATGGGAAATGGAGAATAAGTAATGAATTTTAAATCTGGTATTGTATTGGTGTGTGCCCCAGATAATTAAAGCTGTAGAAAATTCTAATATAATAATCATCTAATGCAAGTGAAACTGTCTCCATTTAAAAAATTCAGGAAACAAAAATACAGAGAGAAATCCCCCAACCACCTCCTTTTTAAAAAATAAATAAAGGAGCTTTCTTTTCATAAGGGATTTATTGGAGGATTCCCTTAAGCAGTGAACATTTTAAGGGATTAACTTTTGGGAACAATGATACACAGGAACTTTTTTTTTTTTAAACTCAGGAAGTAAAGGCCTGGCGCAGTGGCTCACGCGTGTAATCCTAGCACTCTGGGAGGCCGAGGTGGGCGGATTGCTCCACGTCAGGAGTTCAAAACAGCTTGAGCAAGAGCAACACCCTGTCTCTACTAATAAATAGAAAGAAATTAATTGGACAACTAAATATATATATATATAAAAATTAGCCGGGCATGGTGGTACATGCCTGTAGTCCCAGCTACTCGGGAGGCTGAGGCAGGAGGATCACTTGAGCCCAGGAGTTTGAGGTTGCTGTGAACTAGGCTGACACCACAGCACTCTAGCCTGGGCAACAGAGTAAAACTCTTGTCTCAAAAAATAAATAAATAAATAAATACAAAAATATAAGAAACTCATGAAGTAAAAATAGCAGGGACTTTTAGGCTCCTATGTTACAGTTTAGGCTGGCCAACCTTTAAAATCTCCTTTTTTTAAAATTTAAATATTTATTCATTCATTCATTCATTCATTCATTCATTCATTCATTCGAGACAGTGTCTCATTCTGTTCCCCAGGCTAGAGTGCCGTGGTGTCAGCCTAGCTCACAGCAACCTCCCAACTCCTGGGCTCAAGCAATCCTCCTGCCTCAGCCTCCTGAGTAGCTGGGACTATAGGCATGCACCACCATGCCCGGCTAATTTTCTTTTTTTTTTTTTGAGACAGAGTCTTGCTTTGTTGCCCAGGCTAGAGTGAGTGCCATGGCGTCAGCCTAGCTCACAGCAACCTCAAACTCCTGGGCTCAAGCAATCGTCCTGCCTCAGCCTCCCGAGTAGCTAGGACTACAGGCATGCACAACCATGCCCGGCTAATTTTTTCTATATATATTAGTTGGCCAATTAATTTGTTTCTATTTATAGTAGAGACGGGGTCTCACTCTTGCTCAGGGTGGTTTCGAACTCCTGACCTTGAGCAATCCGCCCGCTTCGGCCTCCCAGAGTGCTTTACAGGCGTGAGCCACTGCGCCCGGCCTAATTTTCTTTTAATATATATTTTTTAGTTGTTCAGCTAATTTCTATTTTTTAGTAGAGATGAGGTCTCACTCTTGCTCAGGCTGGTCTTGAACTCCTGAGCTCAAATGATCTTCCCACCTCGGCCTCCCAGAGTGCTTGGGATTATAGGTGTGAGCCACCACACCCGGCCTAAAATCTCAATATTCTCTCCTTATATATGAAAATATTTCATGTTCTGTCTCCTTTTCATAAAGAGAAGTGATAATGGTGAAAGGTGACAGTGATCTATGACTGTAAGGTAATTGGAACAATTGAACAAGTTTTTTTTCCCTTAGAACAGATCTTCCATTAGCAACAAAGTATAATAAAAGCTAAGTAAACATTATCTTCATCAGAGCACACAAAAAGCTTACTGTGCTTGATGTTCCCACTGTTCAGAAAAGTTGTCTTGTTTTCTTTTTTTAAGAGACAAAGTCTTGCTCTGTTGCCCAGGCTGGAGTGCAGTGGCACAATCACAGCTCACTGTAACCTCCAACTCCTAAACTCAAGTGATCCTCCTGCCTCAGCCTCCCAAATAACTGGAACTACAGGCATGCACCACCATGCCTGGCTAATTTTTTTGTAGAGATGGGGTCTCACTGTATTGTCCAGGCTGATCAGGAACTCCTGTCCTCAAGGAGTCCTCCCACCTTGGCCTCCCAAAATGCTGGGTTTGCAGGTGTGAGCAACTGCACCCAGACCATTGTGGAATGATTTTAGGGTCCACATCTTATTCCTTTGAATAGTTTAAGTGATGATATAAAATTTCAACCATTTGACTTTGTGTACAGCCAGAATTCATTTTGCATCAGGACTTGCGAATAAACTGATCAAACCCAGTTAATGCTATTTTGGATCCTAGGCCAAAGTATATTTATGAAGTAATAAAACTGATTTTTGTAAGTGATTTTTTTTTCTTTTTTTTTTTTGAGACAGAGTCTCACTCTGTTGCCCAGGCTGGAGTGCCGTGTGGTGTCAGCCTAGCTCACAGCAACCTCAAACTCCTGGGCTCAAACAATCTTTCTGCCTCAGCCTCCTGAGTAGCTGGGACTACAGGCATGTGGCACCATGCCTGTCTAATTTATATATATGTGTGTGTGTGTGTGTGTGTGTGTATTTATTTTAGTTGTCCAGCTAATTTCTTTCTATTTTTATAGTAGAGACGAGGTCTCGCTCTTGCTCAGGCTGGTCTGGAACTCCTGACCTCGAGTGATCCTCCCGCCTCCACCTCCAGAGTGCTAGGATTGCAGGCGTGAGCCACCGCACCCAGCCTCTATGTGGTTTTAAACAGATTTTGAGAGTTATTCTAGAGACTTTCAGAAATGCATTGTACAGTGAGAACATTGTTAGAATAAATGTATTACATCAATTTTGTTACTTTATAATCACACTCATATGCCTGAAGAATCATGCACATTGTATACAAAGGCACTAAAAATGAAATGTTCTCCAAGAGAGTAAATTAGGATAAGATTTTTTTTTTTGTTTTCTGTGGGAAAGGAGGACTGGAATTTTTTGTTTTTTGACAGTCAGAAGATACATAATAGTTTGAATTTTTTGTTCATATCTTTTAGTCATCCTTAACTGTGACCTTTACTGGGTATGGGCATTGTGATATACAGTATATTATAATTTAACATGAAGAGTGCTGTAATAGCCAAAAATGTTAGAGTATTTTAATTAAAAATTTATGTAAACCACATAGATAGAAGACAATCATATATATTTGCTGTCTTTGGAATGTCCTTTCCCTAGTTTTTTTTTAATCTTTGAAAATAATTGTTTGGTATTTCAAAAATAGTTTATGTTGACAGCTCTTTTATTAGGTAGCAATTTAGTTTTGTTTTTGAACTTTCTGATTATATTAAGAAGTACTATGACTTTTTCTTAAGTTCTCATTTTTTTTTTTTCTTTTTTTTGAGACAGAGTCTCACTTTGTTGCCCAGGCTAGAGTGAGTGCCGTGGCATTAGCCTGGCTCACAGCAACCTTACACTCCTGGGCTCCCCGCTGCCTCAGCCTCGTGAGTAGCTGGGACTACAGGCATGTGCCACCATGCCCAGCTAATTTTTTCTATATATATTAGTTGGCCAATTAATTTCTTTCTATTTATTTCTATATATAGGTCTCGCTCTTGCTCAGGCTGGTTTCGAACTCCTGACCTCGAGCAATCCGCCCACCACGGCCTCCCAGAGTGCTAGGATTATAGGCGTGAGCCACTGTGCCCGGCCAGTAAACTTTTAAGTCTATCTTGATTATTGCTTTGTATCACCAAAGAGATTACAAATTCCTAAGTAAATCAAGAGACCAAATAGGATCACATTGATTTATTTAGCAGAGTATTGGTCATTGGTAGGAGAAGCATTTTATTTTATATTTATCTAGGTTAATTTTTACTAAAATGTTGACACTTAAATGTCACTTGTGCAGAAAGAGTAATGAGTAAAATGTAAATATTCAGTTCTAGAGTAGACCCCTCCTTTTGGACTAAAAAAATGCTTGCTTTTTTCTTTTTGTATGTGGCAAACTAGAATCTCAAGAGGAGGATGGAGATATAGAAGTTGAAGAGGCAGAAGGAGAAGAAAATGATAGACCATATAATTTGAGACAGAGGAAAACAGTGGATCGATATCAAGCTCCTCCAATAGGTGGGTGACTCCAAATAACTTTTTTCCTTTTTGTAGTTATGTAGATCTGTTCCTTTTAAAACATTAAGATGCTGAGTTCAACAGAATGAAGTCTCTTATAGGTTCCATATACTGTTATCTTTTCCTATGTATATACTTATGTGAATACACACAATTAAAAGAATTTTAAAGGCCATAGCAACATTGTTTTACATAGAGCATGTACATTTTATTTATAGAAGTTTATATTTAAATAATACTGTTTATATTTTTATTGAGCACTTTCATTTACAGCAGTTCTTTAGGGCAAGGGGTGGGGAACCTACAGCTTTCTATTTTAATAAAATCCTTTTATTTATATTTTATTTTAGCGTATTATGGGGGTACATGTGTTAAGGTTACGTATATTGCCCATGCCCCCCCCAGTCAGAGCTTCAAGCGTGTCCATCCCCCAAACATTGCACATCTCACTCATTGTGTTTGTATATACCCATTCCTCCTTCCCCCTCCCACCTGCCTGACATCCGATAAATGTTATTCGTATATGTCCACTGAGGTGTTGATCCATTAATACCAATTTGCTGGTGAGTACATGTGGTACTTGTTTTTCCATTCTTGTTTTTCTTTTTTCTTTTGAGACAGAGTCTCACTTTGTTGCCCAGGCTAGAGTGAGTGCCATGGCGTCAGCCTGGCTCACAGCAACCTTACACTCCTGGGCTCCCCGCTGCCTCAGCCTCGTGAGTAGCTGGGATTACAGGCATGCACCACCATGCCCGGCTAATTTTTTCTATATATATTAGTTGGCCAATTAATTTCTTTCTATTTATAGTAGAGACGGGGTCTCGCTCTCGCTCAGGCTGGTTTCGAACTCCTGACCTTGAGCAATCTGCCCACCTCGGCCTCCCAAAGTGCTAGGATTACAGGCGTGAGCCACCACGCCCGGCCCTCAAGTTCTCATTTTTGATGACCTTTTTAGTATCTCTCTAGTGGCTTACATTTCTTTTTCTCCACTCAAAAGGGAAAATTGTAAATTGACTATTTTGAGAAATTAGCTAAGTTTTTAATTTGTCAGTTTAAGTATAATAAAATATTTTGAAGAAATTATTAATGATATTGGTGTTCAAGTACAATTTATTGTGTTAATAAATTTGTCATTGTTTGAATTTTGTTTTATCAACCAAAACCAGTAGTTAATGTCTCCTATTTAAGGCCTCAGTTAATTTTATGTACATGTTAAGCTTAATCTTTTCATTGGGATTTTCATTTATAGAGTTGGGGATAGAGTAAGTTCACTTTGCAATCTTAATATTATTAAAACTTTTCTTGAAGTAAAGAAATGACTCTTAACTAGCTAGTATATTTTATTAATTGATATGTTACCAATCTTAGGAAAAAAATGTTATCTGTACTCTTAAGAAAGTAGTATTACATTTTAAAGATTAAAATAATTCCAGCAGTATTGCATTTATTGCTTATCTAAACAAATGTTGATGTGTTTGCATATTAAATATAATTGTGTTCTAGGTTAACTTCTCAGCCTGGTGCTACATTACCAAACGGACATAGTAGCTTATGTGAGTATTCTATTATGAAACTGGTTAGTACTGAAATTCTTTTAATGGTGTTGGAAAAAGCATTAAAGTGGGGAAAAATAGTGTGGTTTAATAGCATACTCAGCATGCAGTCGGAAATGGCTGAATTTCAGCCACTGTAAAAGTGTATGTAATCATTAACCTCTGAGAAATCAGTATAACTGAAATAATTGAAATTATTATGACAGACTATAAAACAGTTACAGAAATTTTAAAATATTGAATGTTAAAGCCATTTAAGATGTTATATTCAACTTTTTGTAGTCTTTTAGAAAAGTAAACTTTTAATTTTTTTTCTTTTCTTTCTTTTTGTACTCCAAAATGTAAAATAATCTCTGTTCTTTTAGCCCTTCGAAATCATCCCCTTCGAGGGGAAAAGAAGGGAGATGGGGACCTTTCTTGTATGAATGGTGACATGGAAGTCAGAAAAAGTTGTCGATCCAGGAAAAACAGATTTGAAAGTGTGAACCAGAGTTTGTTATTTGATCAACTAGTAAATAGGTATGAATGCTTATGCATTAAGCAGTTTCATTTAATTATTTGAGTTTTAAGCCATGTTTTAAAAATTAATGTGAGAACTGACTTAGCAATATAGTTCTTTTAAAACTTAATTTGAATTAAGAATGGTTAGTAGTGGTTGTCAGTTTTTCAGTCATTGTGATAGATTTAATATAATTTGTATAATAGCTAATTTTCTTATGTCTTTTAAGCTTTTCTTTTTTGAGATGGAGTCTCACTCTGTTGCCCAGGGAAGAGTGCCATGGCATCAGCCATCAGCTTAGCTAACAGCAACCTCAAACTCCTGGGCTCATGCAATCCTCCTGCCTCAGTCTCCCAGTAGCTGGGACTACAGGCATGCGCCACCATGCCCGGCTAATTTTTTTTTATATATATATTTTTAGTTGGCCAATTAATTTCTTTCTATTTTTAGTAGAGATGGGATCTTGCTCTTGCTCAGGCTGATTTTGAACTCCTGAGCTCAAACGATCCCCCTGCCTCGGCCTCCCAGAGTGCTAGGATTACAGGCGTGAGCCACCACGCCTGGCCTGAGCTCTTCTTCATAGTCAGACAACATAAAAAGTAATTTTTTTGTGTCTTCACAACTATAGTCCTTTGATATTTGCTCATTTAAGTTGCATTTTTGACAATTGTCAAACATTATATCCCATTATCGAAACATAGTAAATAATAGTTTTGCTTAGTTAAGAGTTTGAATTGAAGGTATTTTGATACCGGATATGTGGGAGTAAGTCTCTTAGCTAGTGAGTGAAACTAACGGACTATCAGGTCAACATCTACATTCATAAAACTTCATCTTCTCAAATAGTACATCATCCCACTTAGTCTTTAAAATGGCCTGGTCAGTATAATCCCTATTTGACAGGAGAGGAAATTATATCCTCTAGCAGTTACATCAAATTTGGTCTGTTATTTGTTAAATATTTAGATCAGTATCTGGATACATAGTACATGTTATATAAATGTTTATTAAAAAGATAAAATAAAAATTGCTAAGATATTAGAATATATGGTTTGAATGTCAAATATTCTCTAACTTCTAAAAATGTCTGTACGTTAACCTTATATTGGCTTTAAGCTTTATAAATTCTTTTATTTAAACAATATTATTTTTAACATCATCTTCAAATAAAAATATTGAATTAGTTTTTTTTTCAGTGTCATAGATCTGGTAATCAGTTATTTGTAGTGGCATTATGTATTTTGCCTTATATTTCTAAAGCTTTATCTAAATATATTAAGGTAGAAGATGTTCTGGTTTCATTTTTTTATTGGGCCTTGTTTTCTGATGGATGCTGGTTATGATAGATATTTAATTGAAATAAGATGTAAAAGATATGTAACTGTACATATCAGAGATGATTTAATTGTGCTTTTATGAAAAGCTCTTTTACATTTATGACACAGTGTGTGGTCTTACCATTGTCTAAACCCTGCTTGTATTATATGATTGTAGTACTGCTGAAGCTGTATTACAGGAAATGGACAACATTAACATCCGGCGGAATCGTCGATCAGGAGAAGTAGAACGACTTCGAATGTGGACAGATACAGAATTTGTGAGTATATTAACTAATAGCAGTTTTAGCAAATATTTTTTAATTTGATTAAGGAATTTAAAGGGAGAATGAGCAACAGTTGGATTTTTTTGAATTAGCACAATTGTTCTTTCCTCTTCATTTCCAACTTTGGGATTTTATTTTATATATATTTTATTCATATATATATATAAATACACACATATATATATATATGTGAATGAGAATCTAGCTCAGAGTAGAGTGCAGTGGCATGATCATAGCTCACTGCAGCAGTGTTGAACTCCTGGACTTAAACAATCTTCATGCCTCAGCCTCCTAAGTAGCTAGGACTACAGGTGTGTGCCACCACACCCTGCTAATAAAGAAAAATATTTTTTTGTATGTTTCTATGAGAACATAGAAAATGTCTCGCTATGTTGTCCAGGCGGGTCTTGAACTGCTGTTCTCAAGATTTCTTCCCTCAGCCTCCTAAAGCACTGAGATTTAAGTGTGAGCCACCAAACCTAGCCTAGTTTGGGATTTTATTGCTTGCTTGCTTGCTTTTTTTTTTTTTTTTGTAATTATCAACACCTTGACCTTTATGATCTGGGTTTAACTTTATCTTTTCACACACCATTGCCCAAATATAAACAAATCATTCATGTTCCCATACCTTTTACTGCTGTTAATACTTCTGGTTAGCAGCTGCTATAATCTTACCTTTGTTTCAAGGTTCATTTCAAATGCTTTCTCCTTTCCCCTCACTCTATAATAAGAGGGGGGTCTTCTCTTTGAATTCTAGAGTACTTTGTACCTCTTTTTGTGGCATTTAACTTCTTTTCTTTTATAATTACCTGTGACTTGTCTATATTCCTCCTACTAGGCTGTAATTTGCTTGAGGGAGAAAGTATGTTGATGGCATTATATGCTTTTTTTTTTTTTTTTTTTTTTTTTGACAGAGTCTTGCTTTGTTGCCCAGGCTAGAGTGAGTGCCATGGCGTCAGCCTAGCTCACAGCAACCTCAAACTCCTGGGCTCAAGCAATCCTCCTGCCTCAGCCTCCCACGTAGCTGGGACTACAGGCATGGGCCACCATGCCCAGCTAATTTTTTTCTATATATATTAGTTGGCCAATTAATTTCTTTCTACGGGGTCTCACTCTTGCTCAGGCTGGTTTTGAACGCCTGACCTTGAGCAATCTGCCTGCCTCGGCCTCCTAGAGTGCTAGGATTACAGGCGTGAGCCACCGCACCCGGCCTATTATATGCTTTTAATTATTGAATATTTTATAAGTTTTATTTTTTTTGTTTTGTTCTTTACATTTATTGAATTCAGGATGATCCATTTTCATGAATCTGTGATCATAAATTTTATTGAGCAGTCATGTGCCATTGTGCTAACATTATTTATAGTGGAGAGTGAATACCATGTTAGTATTTTGACGGATTTCTCTCTTTAAAAGGAAAACATGGATATGTATTCAAGAGTGAAAAGACGAAGAAAGTCACTGAGAAGAAATAGTTATGGGATACAAAATCATCATGAAGTTTCTACTGAGGGTGAAGAAGAAGGTTTGTAAAGCACTTTATAAAATAAATACTACAAAGTTCAGGTGGGAGGGAAGAAAAATAATATATACAAGTAATAATATGTATAATAATTGCCAAGTGAGTTATTTTTGGATTTTGAGGACTATAATGTATATTTGAAATAATTTAAATTCAGTTGGCATTCTGAGTTTTTATTTCCTTCATTTGGAAAATGCTTATAACTGTTCATTATACATTTTGTAATGTATTTCATGAATAGCCATTGATAATCCTTAAGTGATCTGGTGTGGCATTTGTCATGGGCTTCTTTGCTTGTTAAGTGAGGCCTCTCTTGTACTGAGGCACCATCTAACTGGAAGATTATTTTGTTATCCATAGCTAAATCTCTGATTATTTGGATCTCAAATTTAGCTATGGACTGAGGAATAAATGGTAAAGTTTAGTGAAAGGACTGTTAGTACTAGTGGAGGAGATTGTACTGTTCTTTTTTGAGGCTTGAGTTCTGAACTGAAAAGCCCAGACTGAATTTGTAGGGCTTAAGCCAGGAACATGATGAACGCACATCGGCCCCATGGATTATAAATTGATGACCAGTACACCTAAAGGATTTAAATGTGTAGGCATTAATCTTTATTGAGATGGATTTTCAGATGATTGGTATATTATAAATGCAGATTAGTAGTGCTTTACAAGGGAATCTTACTACTTCCCACCCCTGTGTAACTTAAATGAAGAGTGCATTTATTTCTCAGATTCTCTGGTTAGTATTTTATTAGCCAGATTTGAAGAGCTGATATTTCTAATGAAGGTATTTTATTGAGCAAATATTATTATTGTTACAGCTAGAACCTCTATATTGCTTCCTTTGGAGAAAATCAGTATAGGTGAGACAGATTTATAATGTGATTTTTGCCTTTTCATTAACTGAACACTTTTGTAGAGATTCCAAAGTAGATATGCTATATATAGAATTTTTGTTCATAATAAACTATGATTGTACATTTTTCAAAAATTAATATTTTGAAGGTTTAGAAAACTTATTTGAAGGTACAAGAATTTTATGGTATTATTTAGATAAATAATATCATATTTGTTGATTTTTCAAAAGTTAAAATAAGCTTTCATATGTCATGAGTAAAATGTAAACTCCTTTGCAGTCTTACATCTTCTACTTTCCCAAGCATCACTGGCAACTTTAAATTTTTCCTATGCCTTAATATGATTATGTTATATTGACAATTCTTGTAGTTAAAAGTTATATTCGTAAAAAGTATATTGCATTTGAAGATCATATGCCTATAAATTTTCATCAGACTTTTAACTATAAATAGATAGCACATCATAGCTATAGCCAATCTATTAACAAAATCTTTTAGGATTTATGTACATTATAACTTCTTAAGTGTATAGCTAGATGAATTATCATAAAGTGATCACTCATGTTAAGAAATAAACTACCAGCACCCCAAAAGTCTGTTTCATGATCCCTCCCAATTCCTATCTGCATTTTCCTACCAAAATGTAACTATCTATGCTTCACTGTAACAAATCATAATGCCAACAAAAATTGCTCTTGTAACATTAGTAATTATGCCTATAAGCATATTTTTTTGAATTACCAAGTTGTATTTGAATTCTACCCTCATTTAGTGGTTAATTGAGCATTGATTGAGGTCTGCTGTAGTTTGGTAAACTTTTTTTTTTTTTTGAGACAGGGTCTCGCTTTGTTGCTCAGGCTAGAGTGAGTGCCATGGCGTCAGTCTAGCTCACAGCAACCTCAATCTCCTGGGCTCAAGCAATCCTCCTGCCTCAGCCTCCCAAGTAGCTGGGACTACAGGCATGTGCCACCATGCCCAGCTAATTTTTTCTATATATATTAGTTGGCCAATTAATTTCTTTCTATTTATTTCTATATATAGGTCTCGCTCTTGCTCAGGCTGGTTTTGAACTCCTGACCTTGAGCAATCCGCCCGCCTCAGCCTCCCAGAGTGCTAGGATTACTGGCGTGAGCCACCGCGCCCGGCCTCCATTCTTGAGATACTTCACTTAGTAGAATGGATTCCAGCTCTATCCAGGAAAATATAAGAGGTACTGTATCACCATTGTTTCTTAAAACTGAGTAGTGCTCCATGGTATACATATACCACATTTTATTAATCCACTCATGAATTGATGGGCATTTGAGTTTTAATTAATACATTTTTGTTCATATTTTATATTTTTATTTTATTTTTAAAACAAATCTAGGATTTGTTCTATAAAATTTGGGTTCAGTCAAAAAGGCCACACTTAAGGACCTAGAAATCCACATGTGGCCTTAAGGCCACAGCATCCCCACCTCTTCAAAAGTGGTACATGGCTGCAGTTTGGCCAGTAACTTAGTTTTTTGGGGCCCGTCAGGGAAAAAGGAAAAAGTTAAAAGTTTATCTTTTTTTCTTAGACAGAGTTTTCCTATGTTGCCCAGCCTGGAATGCAGTGGCTATTCACAAGTGTGATGATAGCTTGCTACAGGCTTGAACTCCTGGCCTCAAGCAGTCCTTTGTCAGCCTCCCTAGTAGCTGGGATTACAGGTGCCCATCCTACCCACCCAGCTCATAGTTTATCTTAAGGCTGCCAAATTTAATGACAATTAACTAGTTGCTCAGGCAGTGCTTTTGGTGACCTTCTTCCAGCTTTTGGAAAATTCCATCATTATTGACCTCCTCTAACTTTTTAAACTGAGGTATAACTCACATACCATGAAATTCATGATATTAATATGTACTATTCAGTGGTTTTTAGGGTATTTACCATGTTGTGCCATCATCACCACTATCTAATTCCGAAACATTTATAACTGTCCCTGGTATACTCTGGGTAGACCTCTCACGTATATGTGTCAAAATCCACACATGCTCAGGTCCCACATTTGGTCCTTTGGAATCCCATGTATACAAAGAGTCAACCCTCCATAATCATGGATTTTGCCTCCTGTGAATACTGATCTGTGTTTGATTGAAAAAAAGCCATGTATGAGTGGACCCATGTGGTTCAAACTTATATTGTTCAAGGTTCAACTGTAATTACTTACACTCCCTCCTCCTAGCCCTGGCACCACTGATCTACTTTCTGTCTCTCTAGATTTGCCTGTCTGTGACTTTTTGTCTGGCTTCTTTCACTTAGCATAATATTTTCAAGTAAAAACCTAGGCCCTACTCAAAACCTAAACTTTAGAACTCAAAATTGTTCTAAAGCAGTGATTAATTCTCTGGAAGAGGTGTATCAGAACTATCTATCTAGAAGCTTGCCCAAGTATGCAGACATTCTTCTACTCCAATTAGGAGTCTGTTACAAATAGACCTGTGACAAATGGAGGAGGTGTGTTAAGGCAGAAAAAAGATTGAGAACGATTGTTCTAGATTTTTTTTCTTAAGAAAGCTCTTTTAAGGTATAATTGAAAGAGTCCATTGTACTTATTTATGTATTTCAAATATCTGAGAAGAGATTTTATTTCTCTCTGTACATATTTATAGTCTACAATTTGGCAAGTTTTGAAATATACCTTTGAAACTATCACCACAATTAAGATAAACATATTCATCAATCCTCCCCCAGATTTCCCTGTGCCTGTTTGTAATCTACTCCCACGCCTTCTTGTACCTACTCCCTTCCAATCTCCAGACAGCCACTAGTCTGATTTGCTTCCTGTTACCATAAATTAGTTTATATTTTCTTTGTATTTCTATAAATGGAATCAGATAGCAAATATTCCTTTTTTTTGTCTGACTCTTTGGCTCAGTATTATTATTGTAAGACTCATCTATGTTGTTGCATATAACAATAGTGTGTTCCTTTTTATTGCTGAGTAGCATTTCCATGGATATATCACAATTTTGTATCCATTCATTTGTTGATGGACATTAGGAGTGTTTCCAGTTTTTGGCTATTAACAAAATTGTTATGAACATTCATGTGCAGGTCTTTGTATGCACATATGTTTTCATATTTCTACTAAATACCTGGGTTTCGAATGGCTGAGTGCTATGAGGAGGTATATGTTTAACTTTTTAAGAAGTTGCCAAACTCTTTTCTAAACATTTTCAGATGTTGTTATAACATTTTGTTATAACCATTCAATGTGGTTTTAACATTTTCACTAAGAGTGGATGAGAGTTCCAGTCACTACATATGCTTGCCAACACTTGATATGGTCAGTCCATTAATTTTAATAGGTATTGTAATTTTAGTTTGCATTTCCTTAATGGTGTTGAGCAACTTTTCATGTGGTTATTTGCCAACAGTATATCTTTGGTAAAGTATCTGTTCAAATCTCTAGCCCATTTTTTCAGTTGGGTTGTTTGTTTTCTTGCTGAGTTTTGAGATTTCTCATATATTCTGGATTTCAGACCTTTAACAGATATATGATTTGCAAATATTTTCTCCCGATGTGTGGCTTGTTTTTTTTTTATTCTATTAAAAGTATATTTTGAAGAGCAGAAGATTGTAGTTTGATGAACTACATTTATAAAAAAATTTTTAATTGTATTGTGCTTTTAGTATTGTATCTAAGAAATCTTTGTCTAACCCATAGTCACAAAGATTTAAGTTAATATCTGTTTAGGGTGTTTATTTGCAACTTCATAGTATTACAAAACTTTTATTTTTGTTGTGCTTTTAGATAGCATTTAGAACTTGAAGACATGTGATTATTTTTTATTCAGAGAGTTAACAGAAGCAAATTCTCTCCTTTAATACATTAATTATTTCTCTGTCATTCTTTTTTTTTCCTTTTAGTACCAGCTCATCAAAAAAAGAGGGAAAACACATTGTTTGATATTCATAGATCTCCAGCAAGAAGAAGCCATATTAGGTAAGTTTTGTTTGCTTTTGAAAGGAGGACATATTTGCATTTATCAGTGAGAGATTAATTGCATCTTTCTTTCTTTAATTAGTGACTAATAGTTATTATCCTACATGTGACTGTTATCTTACTGGAATATTTATAGTTGTAACAGTTATGTTCCCTAAACCTACATAGCTTTCCGATCTTGTAGTAGAGTTGAATCTAAGTGACCCATATTGCTTTGATTTGAGGCATTGATTCAGTTAGTCTTGATATTTTTCCCCCCCAATTGTCCTTTCTTTTACATAAATACAAAGGAAGTTTTAAAACTTTATCTTATTTTATTTCCTTAAAAGGTAATTCTGAGAAACAACTTTTTCTACTCATGTAACATTCTGACTCTAAATGTGTGGGATTTTCCCATGCCAGGCAATTCTTCAATTCTTCTGGACACCAGCTACGTGTCCAGTGATTTAACTCAATTTAATTATGACACTTTTTAACTGAAGTTGCATCAGATCCTACGAATTAAGGGCTCAGTCACATAAGGCTGCCCTCAATTCTGATGCCAATTACAAGTCTGGGCTTTCTGTACTACTGATGTACTTATAAATCGGGGGTTCTTACAACCCCCTCTTCAGGTGTGATATTTGCTAGAATGGCTCACAAAACTCTGGGAGACACTATGCTGTTTTACTTTACTGGTTTATTTATTATAAAGGCTACAACTCAGGAATAGCGAGATGGGAGAGCATAAGGCAAGATAATCAGGGAGAGACTGAGGGTGTGCAGAGCTTCCATACCCTTTCTGGGCATTCTCCCTTCCAGCATCTCAGGATGTTCACCAACCCAGAAGTTTAACATATTTCATTGTTCTAGATCTTTTATAGAGCTTAATCTCTAGCTCAGGCTCCCTCAAACCCTCCATCCCCCTTGATGAGTGTAGCTGAAAGTTCCAACCCTCTAATCACTTGGTCTTTCTGGTGACTGGTCTAATTCTGAGGCTATCCTAAATCATCTCATTAGCATAAACTCTGGTGTGATCAAAAGGGGTTCCTTATCACCAACAACAGCCACTATGGCTCAGGAAATTTCAAGGATTTTAAGAGCTCTGTGCCAAGAATAGGGGACAAAACCCACATATATTTCTTATTATACCATGGCTCTAAAACAAAAATTAAAAAATGAACATGAAAAGCTTTGTTCTACACTTAGTAGTCTCTCACTCTCACAGTAACGTTCTTAGTTTGTGTAACTTCAAAGAATGCGTGGGCATATGTGCACATGTAAATGCATATGCAAATACGAATTTGTGTTAGTACCCCTTCTTTTTACACAAAATATACCATATACATTGTTCACGTTTTTTCCACTTAATTCATTTCAACTATTTTTTCAGCTTGTAAATTTCACTTGTGTGTTTAACTTGCATAATAAATACTACATTTATGGATATGCTATAATTTTTTTAACTAAGACTTTATTTGCAGAAGTTCTTTATATAATAGATTAGTTCTTTGTTGTATAATTTGCCAGTCCCCTCCCTTCTCCCAGTTTGTATTTTGTCTTTATATTTGATTGTCTTTATTTTTTTGAGACAAGAGTCTTGCTGTTGTCAGGTCTAGAGTGCTGTGGTGTCAGCTTAGTTTACATCAACCTAAAACTCCTGGGCTCAAGTGATCATCCTGCCTCAGCCTCCCAAATAGTTGGAACTACAGGCGTGCCCCACAACACCTGGCTAATTTTTTCTATTTTTAGTTTGCCGGCTAATTTCTTTCTATTTTTAGTAGAGATGGGGTCTCGCTCTTGCTCAGGCTGGTCTCGAGCTCCTGAGCTCAAGTGATCCTCTCGCCTCAGCCTCCCAGAGTGCTAGGATTACAGGCGTGAGCCACCATGCCCCTGCCATGGTTGTCTTTATTATACAAAAAAATTTTTTTTATGTAGTCAAATTTATCAGCCTTGTCTTTTCTGGCTTTTAGATTTAGATTTTAGATTTTAGCTTTTAGCTTTTAGAGTCTTAGTTAGATAAACCTTCCCCAAACCAATGCTTTAAAGGAGTCTACCCTTGTTTATTTCTGTACTTTTATTATTTTATTTTATTTTTATTTATTTATTTATTTTTTTGAGACAGAGTCTCGCTTTGTTGTCCAGGCTAGAGTGAGTGCCGTGGCGTCAGCCTAGCTCACAGCAACCTCAAACTCCTGGGCTCAAGCAATCCTTCTGCCTCAGCCTCCCGAGTAGCTGGGACTACAGGCATGCACCACCATGCCTGGCTAATATTTTTTTTTATAAATATATATTAGTGCCAATTAATTCTTTCTATTTATAGTAGAGACGGGGTCTTGCTCTTGCCAGGCTGGTTTCGAACTCCTGACCTCGAGCAATCCGCCCGCCTCGGCCTCCCAGAGTGCTAGGATTACAAGGCTGAGCCCAACGCCTGGTACCCAAGTTTTTTTAAAAGCCGTTTGCTACTATAATAGTTTTAAGTTTTATTCTCTTTAATTAGGAGAAAGAATGCTTCACAGTAGTGACACAACTTCTTCTGATGAAGAACGCTTTGAAAGAAGGAAATCAAAGAGCATGGCAAAGACCAGAAATAGGTTAGTAAATGTTTTATTATTATTTCCATGATAGAAAAAAGAAGAATATTTTTTGTTTTTGTATGAGTTTCTTATCTCTACTGGCACTTTGCTAACATTAGTATTCAACATACATTTAGACTAAAGTAATGCAGATAGCTGTTTTTTTTTGAGACAGTCTCACTTGTTGCCCAGGCTAGAGTGAGTGCCGTGGCTCAGCTAGTTCACAGCAACTTCAAACTCCTGGGCTCAAGTGATCTGCTGCCCTCAGCCTCCTGAGTAGTTGGAACTACAGGCATGTGCCACCATGCCCGCTAATTTTTCTATTATATATTTATTAGTTGGCCAATTAATTTCTCTATTTTTATACTAGAGATGGGGTTTGCTCTGCTTCAGGCTGGTTCGAACTCCTGACCTCGAGCAATCGGCCTGCCTCGCTCCTAGAGTGCTAGGATTACAGGCGTGAGCCCACCACGCCTGGCCATACTTAGTAATTCTTAAAATAGAATCTAACCTTGGCCAGTGCGGTGGCTCATGCCTGTAATCCTAGCACTCTGGGAGGCCGAGGCAGGCCGATTGCTCGAGGTCAGGAAGTTCAAAACCAGCCTGAGCAAGAGCAAGACCCCATCTCATAGTATAAAAATAGAAAGAAATTAATTGGCAACTAAAATATATAGAAAAAATTAGCCGGGCATGTGGCACATGCCTGTAGTCCCAGCTACTTGGGAGGGTGAGGCAGGAGGATTGATTTAGCCCAGGAGTTTGAGGTTGCTGTGAGCTAGGCTGACACCATGGCACTCACCTTAGCCTGGGCAACAAAAGCGAGACTCTGTCTCAAAAAAAAAGAAATCTAACCTTGGGAAATTTTACCAAATTACTTATTCTGTAAGTACTTATAATAAAATAACATGTGGAGAGTAAAAAGAGCCAAGGGAAGAGAGAGGCTAACCTATATGGGAGCATCTGTCTTTTTCTCCGTATTTCCTCTGTAACCAAATTCATGTAATGAGGCTGATTTAGATATTTATGATGATTACAATATAGCACTCAGAGTAACATATGATTTTTTTTTTTGAGACAGAGTCTCATTCTGTTGTGGCTAGAGTGCGTGCATCCACTAGCTCATAGCAACCTCAAACTCCTGGGTCAAGTGATCCTCCTGCCTTGCCTCCCGAGTAGCTGGGACTACAGGCATGCACTACCATGCCCGGCTAATTTATATATGTGTGTTTTATATATTATATATATATAATATATTAATGTATAATATATTTTTTTTTTTTTTTTTGTCCAGCTAATTTCTATTTTTTTTTTTTTTTAGTAGAGACTGGGTCTCACTCATCTCAGGCTGGTCTGGAACTTCTGAGCACAAATGATCCATCCTCCGCCTGCCTTGACCTCCCAGAGTGCTAGGATTATAGGCATGAGCCACCACATCTGGCCAAGATATAGTTTCTAATAGAATTATCTCAAGAGCTCTTGGATTTTTGTTGGAAAAATTTGTTTTAATATTGGTTAAATGAATGCCTCTGGTAATCTTTGCCTAACTAGAGTTAATGACTGGTTACTATGTGGCTCACTAAAACCTCCAAGAATTTTCACCAGAGGAGAGATTCTGTATTTGTCTAGTAAATAATCGGTGTTGAATATATCTGTTGTAGAAATACTAAGTTTTCAGTTAGCAAGTCTTGGAAATAAGTTTGGATTGGTGTATACTATATGCTAAAAAGGAATTCCTTTGGCCAGGTATGATGGCTCACACCTGTAATCCTAGCTCTTTGGGAGGTTGAGGCAGGAGCATTGCTTGAAGCCACAAGTTGAGACCAGCCAGAGCAAGAGCAATACCTCATCTCTACAAAAATAGAAAAATGAGCTGGGCATGGTGGCATGCACCTATAGTTCCAGCCACTTGGGAGGCTGAGGCAGCCCAGGAGTTTAAGATTGCAGTGAGCTCTGATAGTGCCACTGCACTCTAGTCCAGGCAGCAGATCTAGACCCAGTCTCAAAAAAAAAGAAAGAAAGAATTCCTCTTGTGAATTATGGAAAGAAAATGTAAGAGAAAAATCTAAGTTTAAATAAAATAATTTAATGCATGTTTAATCTGAACTATTTTGGTAACCTACTTTGGTGATATATATACATCTTTTTTTTTTTTTGAGACAGAGTCTCTCTCTGTTGCCCGGGCTAGAGTGCCGTGGCATCAGGTTAGCTCACAGCAGCCTCACACTCCTGGGCTCAAGCAATCCTTCTGCCTCAGCCTTCCAAGTAGGTGGGACTGCAGGCACACGCCACCATGCCTGGCTAATTTTTTTCTATATATTTTTAGTTGGCCAATTAATTTGTTTCTATTTATGGTAGAGATGGGGTCTTGCTCTTGCTCAGGGGGTCTCGCTCTTGCTCAGGCTGGTTTCGAACTCCTGACCTTTAGCAATCTACCTGCCTCGGCCCTCAGAGTGCTAGAATTACAGGCGTGAGCCACTGCGCCCGGCCTTTGGCGATATATTTTTAAGGTAAGTTAAGATTCAGGAATGTCAGCGAAGTTACAGTCTATCCTGGTGACAGAGCAAGACTCTCTCAAAAAGAATAAAAGAGGAAGTAGATTATATTTACTTAGGGGATAATAAAATTAAGTAATGTAGTATATAGTATTTTAGGTAGCTGGAGATCTCTCTTGAGGTAATTACACAAAAGATAAAGCTTAATTCTCAAAATGTGATCTAAAATTGGTTTCCTTTGATCAAAAGGGAGAGAAGGCCGGGCGCTGTGGCTCACGCCTGTAATCCTAGCTCTTGGGAGGCCGAGGCAGGCGGATTGCTCAAGGTCAGGAGTTCAAAACCAGCCTGAGCCTGGCTAATTTTTCTATTTTAGTTTGCCGGCTAATTTCTTTCTATTTTTAGTAGAGATGGGGTCTCGCTCTTGCTCAGGCTGGTCTCGAGCTCCTGAGCTCAAGTGATCCTCTCCCTCAGCCTCCCAGAGTGCTAGGATTACAGCGTGAGCACCCATGCCCCTGCCATGGTTGTCTTATTATACAAAAAAATTTTTTTATGTAGTCAAATTTATCAGCCTGCTTTTCTGGCTTTTAGATTTAGATTTTAGATTTAGCTTTTAGCTTTTAGAGTCTTAGTTAGATAAACCTTCCCCAAACCAATGCTTTAAAGGGTCTCCTTGTTTATTTTCTTTTTATTATTTTATTTTATTATTTATTTTTATTATTTATTTATTTTTGAGACAGAGTCTCGCTTTGTTTGTCCAGGCTAGAGTGAGTGCCGTGGCGTCAGCCTAGCTCACAGCAACCTCAAACTCCTGGGCTCAAGCAATCCTTCTGCCTCAGCCTCCCGAGTAGCTGGGATACAGGCATGCACCACCATGCCTGGCTATATTTTTTTTTATATATATATATCTTAGTGGCCAATTAATTTCTTTCTATTATGTAGAGACGGTGTCT